CTAGTCCTAGTTCTAGTTCTAGTTCTAGTTCTAGTTCTAGTTCTAGTTCTAGTTCTAGTTCTAGTTCTAGTTCTAGTTCTAGTTCTAGTTCTAGTTCTAGTAGTCATAGTCATAGTTCTCTATGATCATAATGGCAAAATTAATAAGAAGATTCTTTGCACTTTTCAGCATGCAGAGCTACATATATTCTTCTTGTGCCAGCAGAAAAGATTGTATCAAATTCAGTGAGATTCAAAGCATAGCAAAAGCTTCTTGACTGCCAAGCAACTCTGACGCCAAAAGAAAGCTGACAATGCTTTTGGGTCGTCTAACAAGAATTATTGGCCTATATATGACTTACAACCTGAATAAATTTAATTTAGCACTAAAAGATAGCCTGGCAGCCTCTTGCCAAATTTACCTGTATCTCATCAAAATCAGAATGTAACTGTATCTCATCAAAATCAGAATGTAACTGTTTACTAGAGTCCAAGCACTAGCACTAGCACTAGCACTGTATAACCTAAACCAATTGATAAACCAAAAATGCCATCCCTAAATTGAATTCCTCTTCTTTCAATATTGTGTGAATACAAATACTTGGTTGTTGCTACTACTACTAGTAGTAGTACCAGGATAGTATTAGTTTCTTCAAATTCTAATACTAKTACTTTGAACATAGAGGAGTTCTTACTATTGGATAATACTAACAAGACATCAGAAATTTATAAACTAAAAAATGAGGGCATCTTGAAACTTTAACATTGAATGCTCTATGATGTGACCAAGCATCATGACAGTATTGAATTGGCTGGGCACCAATATTTTCTTAACATTTAGTTCAATTCTTCAGCCTCAATCATGTGTGATTTCCATTCGTATGAGAGTGCATCTCACTCGTTTCCCATTAAAATTGCCTATCTTGCAATGCAATAACAGACTCAAGCAGAAAGTGCTTCAAAGCAAACATGAAACGAACCGTCAAACGAGGGCAAGCCATATAACTACCGCAGATTCGAAACTTTGGGGGCTGAACCTAATGCTTCTCCTTAAAAAGGTTTTCTAAGTTGGAGTAGATGCTCTGCAACGATCAAATGTATCTAATCAATGAGCGTAAGCACAGTGCGAGTTCGATACTTGCTGAACCTCCGATCTCTTCGCGCAACACGATGCGGTACTTCTTTACATAACCATCACACTTATGGAAACTATTGCAGACAGACCCTCGTTGTATCACATCGAGCACAGGTATTTAAAATACTAATCCTTATCGATTCTCATCGGAGACAAGCGCTTTCTGTTGTTTCTGATCGCTGAAAACAAGAATTTAGTTGTCGAGCATCTCAAATTCATCACACAAATCCACTTCCATGTATTGTAAATTCATTTGATGCGCAACGTGYCCTAGCGTCAAAAGCTTTGTCGGTGTTGTTCGACTTCCTCGAGATAGGCTGCCGCCTCTCGCACCAAAGAGGCATCGTTTTTATCGTCAAGGGCCCTCGCGCAAGTCATGAGAATGTCTTCGTGGGACATCACAGCGGCGGTCAACAACGGATACTCCTTGCGCAACTGGGCCACGGTTATTCTCGATTCCTGCGTTGCCGGGGAGCGAATGGAAATATAGTGGYTGGACCGAGCCAGGGACGCTTCGATCTCTTCCGAGGAAACCACCACTGGACCTTCCTCGTCCTCGTCGCTGTAGTCACCATCGGTATAAAAGCAATTCTCATTCCCGTTATCAATATCCATGCCGTCTACAGTATCCTTGCAACCACTGCATCCGTTGTCGACATCGCTGTTGCCCCGCAGTCTCGTAATGGTTGGAACCCAATGCGCGTTATGCGTAAAAAATGTCTGCGGAAACTTGGTGGACAAGACGTGCCGGAATTTTGATATCAAATCCTGGTATCCCCCCTGAAGATCTGCCTCCTGTCCTCTTGCCTCGTAATATCGGTTCAATCGTGCTAAACTCGGAATCAAGAAATTCCCACCCCCCTCATCTAGATCTTCGAGAAACTCCGGATCCGTCATGCTCGACAACTGGTAGGGAAGTAGGCGCAGCAGCCCTCGATACAGGGCCTCATGCCTTCGATTCTGTCCCAATCTTCGACCTTTCTCGTCCTTTCTAGAATTCTCCTCCTCCCTGTCACCGTCGTCCACCGCTAGCGAGAGCATGGCTAACAAATCCTTCCAATGTTCTAAAGAGGAGTAACATCCGAGATACAAAAAGAGCAAGTAACTCAGCTGTAAATCACCCAGTAGAGCTTCCCATGAATTCTGGTAATAGTCACTCAAAATTCGGTTCAGCCAAACGAACTCGGTGAAATTGTTGCCAGAGTCGTGTCCCGATGCCAACAAGAACATCTTGGTGCGTTCCGAAGGTTCTAGACGCGATAGGAATCGTGCCGTGCCAGTATGTTTGTGCGTCGCAAGAGAAACCTTTAGATCAACGACAGGAATGGRTGGATATACCATGCTCCTGCCGTCTGCTTCGGGCTGTTGGAGATTTTTCTTTGGTCCGTTGCTCGTCGTTTCATTTTCCGGATCGTAACACCCAGGCACAATCTTTTCCCCGGAAGAAAGCCCTCTCAAATCATTGAGGAGAAAGGACTGTGCTTTATTGATGAATCGAGTTTGCTCCCCCCATACTCGTTGCTGAGACAACATGACCAAATCTCTTTCGTTTCCACCTTGATGGTTGTCGCTGTTGCTTCCTTGGACGAGTTGCTCGTAGGAAAGCACCCGCGATGGATTSATGATGCTACTTCTAGCTTGGATCTGTTGCAACAAATTACGCCTCGTGAGATCATCAACAGGAGACGCTAGGTGAGAGGCAACTTCTTCTGTCCGTGGATCGTACCGCCGAATCAAGTGCCCTCCCGCCGTAATTCCATCGTCGTGGCCGTCCCCATAGACAAGAAATCCCACCGTCACGGCCGTATTGATGTTGTTGGTATCGGCTCTTGCACTCTCGCCACTGTTGCTAGCGTTTCCATTTTTACACGTAACCAAGTGGAAAGCCCTCGGCGGAACGTTCTTGATGCCTACGAAATCATCGGTCTTCAATACGATGTTTTGCCCGTCCAAGCCAACGGTGCCGCCCTTTGGGAAATCGAGGAGCGCTACAACAACACTGCCGTCCGGTTTCTGTTCAAGACAATCCATKATGCGAAGGGATGTTTCTGTTGTCGATGTATCCTCTCTTCTGRGAATCTGATTCGGTTCGATACAGCATGGGCGTCGAAATGGCAGACATGCACGGTAAGAAGAGGATGGCGACAATCCATGTTCATGAGAAAGAACAAAAGAGAGGATGAGCAAAAGTAATTGCGTTGATGGAATGATTTTTCTTGGAGTGAAGTACGAGTACTACAACGTACGGTACGGTACGTAGCGGTAGTTCCTATGGATGCAGATTCAGACCCCTTTTCTGATATTCTGATATCCTTGGCCCCGAAACCTGAATTGAAATGCATGTTATTTTTATTGCAACTGTATCTCACAGAATTACCCAGGAAAGAACTCAAGATTCTTCTTGTTTTATTTTAAGAACCTAATATTCCCACAACTAGCACGACTACAAGAAGTGCTATAACCTTATGTACTAGATGATGTCATTGCAGAGGGTGGGGTTGGGGTTGCAGCACGACACTGCCTAGTACTAATGACGACGCTGCCCATGAATACTAGTAGTAGTAGTCATACTAGTACTCCTGCTGTCATATCACTACTACTAGTAGTAGTATGTTCATACTAGAGCTTCTTTGTTTGACCTGTGGATTTGCTCAGTGAGTTGCTGTAATTCTCATCAGATTTTGGTTTGTATATATTAAATGAATTCATCATTGGTCCATTAGTATAGTAGTAGGATTACAAAGAGTTTCATTTCCACCATGTGTTGAGTTCTTCATGGTGATTTAGTAGGTTGTTGTGCATTTGCYAGCATCCTAATAGCAGCACCATAATTGTCTGCCAGTATGGGTGTAGGGGTATGTTGTTGTATTTGGAGTTCAAAAAGGATTCATCTGAAAAAAAGAGCTGCTTTACCAGCATCTGTCATGTTGGCAAATTCAGCTACTACTACTACTACTACACCAGCAGTAGAGCTCTATGCAATAGTTGGCTGGATACAGGTATGAGGACGATARTATACTGCAGCTCCAGCTAACATAATGATAGCAATACTCCCATAGATTCTTGCCTCTTTGTTCTATCAGATKCCCAAGTTGTATAATAAGCACCATGGATATTGAGGGGTTGGAACTTTGATAGAACTTTGTCAATTCATCTGGATTGGAGGATATTGGACTTGAATGTTGAGCATCTGGGATATTGAGGCAAAGAGCAGGTCTCCAATATGYGAGTCCCTATTGTTCAGTTGCTAGTAGTTGGTAGGCAAAAACCTGTTTGATTGCTTTGCRGCAGATCTTAGCAGGGCAATGGGAATGTTGACTTACTAGTAGTGTGATAACTGCAATGGAGATACTATTTATGGGACAGATATTTAGGGCATAGACCAGWTCTCATATGCACTGTCAATAGCTGAATCCCATCTGTTGTTCCAGTTCAGTGGCAGCTTCAAGGGGGTCTCCTGCTGGTCCCTGTTCCATCTGTAATTGTTTTCAATATCCTGATTCTTCTTTTATTGGTGTAGGGCATTTCCATGTTTTGGAGTCAGTACTCCCATCCTATCCATGGTGGGTCAYGAGAGCATATCTTTTTCAATTTACTTTGCATAATGGAGATGGTTGAATAGCATAGTTTGCTCTKCATGGATACCATTGAATTTGCAGATGGTGCCTAGTATATTGAGTCGGTTGGACATGTGGCGCTGAATGTGCTGCCTGATCTTGTCACAGATGTGTTCATCATGCTGGTTCTTAGCAAYGAGGAAGTCATCACTTGTTTGAGGATGATGGTGAGACCATCATTGGGATCATGTTTGTAATWSAGGCACCATGGCTCATGTGTAGCTGGTTTAAAGCCTAGCTCTTTTACCAAGAATTTGGATATGTGCTTATCCAGAGGCACACCAGTGCTTCAGGGTGTCCAAGAAGAGGTCACCAACCTTCTTGGACGAGTGCTGAAGGTTGTCCTCACGAAACACTAATCGTGATAATTGAACTGATAATGTAGGAAAGAATTCATCTAGCGTTACTGCYACATTCTAATGATACTASTMGTAGTCTTGTCTTCCACRAAAATTTGTCGTAGCTCACACTTGCCACCAAATGAGTTGGGACARTCCTGACCAAAGCAATAAGATGYGGCATCTGAAAATACAGAAGAATCACTGCCTATCCAATGATACCGTGGAATAAGATCCAATAAACTCTGGGCACTGGTATCTGGCAAGAAGTTAATTTTATTGGTGGARRTTTGCTTCTAATGTCAGCCCTGCTCAATAGCCGTYACAACRCCGAACGATAAGATGCTGTCGGGACTGAGCGCTGTCATCTMTTCATTGATCGTCTCACAAAACAAAAAGMTGCGTTTCTGTACAAAAGAAAATAATGCCACTCGTGGGAAATAGTGGCCCAGTGTGGAAGGCRTTCGTGTTGCATATGCGTTRTGCGCTCGCTCGATGCGACGAACCAAAACGAAAAAGCGGACGGTGGTTGCAATCCTATTTGTTGTACCGGAGCCAATGGCGATGCCCAAAGCCGACTTTCTGGTCAAGAACTTGTCATCACCATCGCCCAATTGGTGCCACCGGAGAATGGTCGATCTTTCTTCACGACGACGAAACCGAGTCTCGAGTAAAACGCAACRTTCCTTTCTTCTTGCGTGTGCAGTATCACGCTGCCGCCACCGCTGTTACCATTGCCAGCRGAACCATCGTCCGTCCCSTCACCGAACAATGCCTTMCGCAAAAAAAAGGTCCCTACCCCCTTTCCCTGCAACGAGGGATGGACCACCACTCGTTCCAGAGCACGGCACGAACGAACTACATGATTCGAGGACAACAGCTCCAAGGTTGCAGTATCAAAATAATTCTTGACCACTAGCAACCTGTAAAAGACCCTCCACCCAAATAGGATCGGAAACCAAAGAATTCCATTCCGGAGCATCGTCCATGTCGATATCTTGGTGCCATCACCACTTTCCCCGTCTTTTTTGTCGGTGCTACCGCTGTTGTTCGTTGTGGGTGATTGTACGTCCTTGAGGATGAAGAAACACACCATCTCGGGTGGCTGGTTCGGTTTGCGACGAAAGGAACACCGGCACGCTGTGGTGCGGTTCTGTGCGGCGTCGTGCTCGAGCTCGATTTCCAGATTTTTACGGAAGATCCAACGGAGGGCATCTCGCTGGCGCGAGCGTCGCTTGCTGCCAATCCGCGGGTCTTCTTTGTGATTGCCTGCTGCCCGGGGAGCGCGTTCCTCCTCCTCTTCCGTGAGCAGCAATTCCTCGAAGATCCAGCTGTACTGCGGGGAAGGGTTGGAGTCGTCCAGAAAGCAATCCGCCAGCAAGCGGGCGGCTTCGTCGACCTGGGAGGGCTGCAGATAYTCCAGTTCGTCGCTGACGTATTCGGGCAATGGCTTCGGTGGAGAACAAGAAGMAGCGGTGGTTCCTKGGGAGGTCTTCTCGAAAGACATGGTTGTTTTGGTGTTGGTCTCGAGATGCGTTTAGTCGATCAATTTTGTATTCCCATGTGTCAACGAACCGGTCACAACCGGCAAATTGCATCAATCAAAGATCGGTAGAAAAATCGGCGGATTCGGTTCAGGGCAGGATCCATTTTCTCGTCCTGTTCGATCGTCCTGTTCGATTCGATTCGATTTCTTTCACGGGAGTACGGTATGGTAGTAAAGTACCGTACTTTGGACGTAGTGTACCGGTAGTTGAGCTTTTTCGTCGCGCCTCAAACCGAAACACGACCACTTGATGCTGATTTCTTGTGACAGGGGAGAGTGAGGGCTGCAAGCCCTGGCGACTGACATTTTGTGGAAATGTACCGTACATTACGTACTATCCTGTACGTACTTCTACAAAAAAATAGAAATTTTTATTTCTATTTTTAGTACAKCGTACGTTCCCATGCAGGACTGCACGTATTTTTTTGTTTCCCGAGTGCAGGCAGGCATGCACAGCAGTCGTCTTCCGAAAACCGAAAACAATTCGTTCAGTATCGCAACGCTTCCTTCACCTACTTGGTACCGGTAGGAGGTACGCTACGGTACATCTAATTACTGTACTACCGTCCGTACCTACTGGAGATGATTCAGAGAAAGGAATTAGAGTTTTCAATCGTGGACCTAAATCTTGTCTGTACATCGTAGGCGKCGCCAAGCAATCCACCGCGCGCGGCCACACATTTATTGATTCGGCCTCACAAACCAAGTGAAATTCTTGCGGGAGTCTCGTACATTCGTGATCAGACCACATACAGCGCACAGAAAGGCTAGCTCTCACAGACTCACACACTCCCTCGCTCACTTAAACACCTCGCCGTGTGAGTACCGGCCGGTACGTACCTTACAGTACGGTACGTACTCTTTCTTCTACTATCCGTACACATCACACACGTCGTTTCTTGTTGAAGAGAAGACGGCATCAGTGAGCTAGGAGACGTACGGACGCTCATTTTTGTTTGATGCTACTAATTTTACAGACTTGATCGTTTCCCAGAGATTGCGCATTTCCAGAGAAAAAAATAATTTGCGCCTTCGTCGTGCTAATTGTTTGACGTATCGTACCACAGTGTGTCGATGTGAGACGAACGTGTTATTGCCAACCACAAATATCTCRRAACACATCTCCACTTTCCTACTACTCCGAGACTAAATCCGAAGTACCTAGCKCACTTTGAAGACATCCATTAGGACTCCTTTGTCATCAAAACACAAACTATCTTCGAAGAGTCTGGAAGATTCACACACAACAAACTAATCGCGAGATACAATCGATCCATCGAATTGCCAATCCAATCCAACAAATCCCTCCATTCTATTCTAGCTATATTTCACTTCGCCAGTGATTCATTCGTTATTCCATACYCCAAAAACAKCCAGAAGAAAGAACTTCACGATGAGTCGATGGGCCGATTCTACAGACGACGAAGATGATTACCTACACGATGGTGATCACGAAGATTACGTCGAGCACGCTGTTAGTGCGGATCAAGTGAGTACGATTTGATTCGATCTGCAAGGTATTCATGCAGATGCGAAGGTACTCGATACAATCCATGGTTCTATATTTTACAAATTCTGATCAATCTGACCACCCTTGTTTTTCTTCTCTCATCAATTCAAYGCATTGCATCTCGGTCTGGAATTTTTGCTATGCATYGTTCACTGCGTATWTGTTCGTGCAACTTGCTTCCCTGAACAACAAACTCGTGTCACGGGATTCCTYCACACCTTTATCATTTCGCTTGCTTTGTCCTTTGGTTTAGCTGAGAGAACCAATGCCACTTCCTGAGCACAACGTGCACCTTCCCGACAAAAACATTGCGGAGGGCGCCGATGACGAAGACGCCGAAGCCGAGGCCGAGGAAGAAAGCGAAGAAGAAGAGGAGGAAGAAGAGACCGAAGAGGAAAAGGCGGAKCGACAGCGCCGCCTCGAGGAAGCAAAAGCAGCTGCCAAAGCCAAAAAAGAGGCGGAGGAGGCCGCGGCAAAAGAAAAGGCACAAAAGAACGACCTTGACAACCTCGATGACATTTTGAATGAAATGGGCATCGAAGCAGCCCCCGCGGCAGAGGAGCAAACGGTAGCCGCTGACGACAATGAGGAACCCGAGGCCGGAGGAGGCACTAACAGCCGCAGGCGAAAGAAGAAGAAAAAGAAGGGGGGCCCTGCGGCTGCGGAAGCCGCTCCTRCTGCTAGCGAGGAACAGCCCACCACGGTGGACGTTGCCGCCGTGATGAAAGCCAAGGCCGGGAAAAAGAAGTCGACGACGAGTGCGGCTAAGGCTGCCGCCCAGGCCGCGTCTTCCGAAAGCAAATCCGCGAAGGGAAAGAAAAAGAAGCTGAGTAAAAAAGACAAGGCCCTGCAATACGGACGGTAGTGCCGTTGTGAGCTAAGCATSAGGTACTTTAACTACTAGTGCCTGCMTTGCTGCAACCGATGCAATCCCCTACGGACACAACGCTCCAACGGTTTTGACATCTCTAGAGAAATGAATATGCTACTGACCATTGTACATATATTCATCGCCCAAAATAAACCTAAGACCAATCCTTTCAAATCCATGTAATCACCTTCTCTGTTAGAAGAATTGAACCGAATGATGCAGTATTGAATGATGACCCAAGCATTTGTAGCATTTGGACTCGCTGCTATGAGAATCGTAATCCCGGAGAGATAGTATGTGCGTGAGTGGGTCAGGCGAGGCAGACAAATCCCAGCATGTCGTTCGCCTAGTCACTCCGAGGGGCAGCGCCTCCCTTCAAGGAGGACCAGTGGAGGCACARCCATTTAAAGGGGGCAGGCTAGTAGTTGGGTTGTTGGTGAAAAACTGTGTTATAGTGGTTTGTTTTGTTTGTGCTGCAGTAGCAGAGGCCAAAGAAGTCTTTGGCAAAGTAGACTGTTTGTGTCTTTTCTTGTTGTTGTTGGGGTASGCATCAAAGACCAGCCAGTTTTGTGTAAAGCTTTTCATTGGGAGATTACTGTGAGGTAAGGATGGAAAATACTGGGTAATAGGATGTGTGTTGGAGACAGGAGATGTAAGCAGCAAGTCAGTACAGATACTACTTGCAAGAATTGTGTTCTTGTACTACTAGTACTACACTTCTTGGAGGTAGTATGGCTGACAACAAAGTACATACTATTAGTACTACTACTAGTAGTAGTAGCTTGAGACAAACAGGTTTCAGGGTATTTGGACAATAAACAAGTATGTGAGGGACAAGTCTGTAGTACTACTATGCCACAAAATTCAACTGGTGGTCCTCTGTTTGTACTACTAGTAGTACTAGTACTAGTATTAGTAGTACTACTAGTAGTAACAACAACAAGAACACCACCACCACCACCTCCTCCTCCTCCTGTTGTTGTTCTCGCTCTTGCTTCACAAAAAACAACAAGAACACTGCTGCAAACACAAGAATGCTGAGGATTACCATCATACTAGCTACTNCTGTTGTTGTTCTCGCTCTTGCTTCACAAAAAACAACAAGAACACTGCTGCAAACACAAGAATGCTGAGGATTACCATCATACTAGCTACTAGTAGTACTAGTAGTAGCTACTACTATTACTACTAGTACTAGTAGGAGTTGTAACAACAAATCAATGAACATCATTCCTATTTTAGAAAAAACAACCAGCCCTACTAGTTGTTTTGTTTACTACTATGTGCTTCTCAATTCTTATCTATTTTTCCACCTTTTCACTCACCACTTAGTTTTTGCACTGTAGTACTGTAAGTAGCTACTTGTGTTGGCCAACCAATTTCTTTCTTTCGTAGTAGGTTCGGATACTACGCGTTTCATAACAATTGAAACCGGACTCGCCAGAGAGCAAAAAGTAATAATTTCAAGTTCTTAACTTCGATTTGAAGTTATGAACTTCAAAATGTCCTGGTAGAAAGTCTACCAGGTTCTACTGACCTAGTTTTTGGATGGCATTCATAATTGAAAGACCGGATTCATGATTGAATGACCTCTGGTGAACCATTTTTTTGTTTTGAGGGGCCCCGGGAATCTATTTGGCCATTCAGCAGTCATTTTAAAAAACTAGCTCAGTAGAACCAGGTAGACTTTCTACCAGGACATTTTGAAGTTCATAACTTCAAATCGAAGTTTAGAACTTGAAATTATTACTTTTTGCTCTCTGGCAAGCCCGGTTTCAATTGTTATGAAACGCGTAGTAATCCCGAGTAACTAGTGAATGATTATTGCTCATTTGTGTCACTGACGTTTGACGTTGCGCATTCCGAAGAAGGATTCATTCGCATTTTACAGTTCRTTCTGTCATCCAGTGCGATTGTACCGGGACGAGCTTTACGAGTGGTACTGTAATGTACCTATGTCCTACAATACAGTACTGAAAATTGTAAATACAGTTTCGTTCAGTTTGAGYACGCACACTACGGGTACGAGTAGTACGTAACGGTACGAGTAATTCATGTACGCAATCTTGCAAAAAGCTTTCTCGAAACAATTTCAAAATTTTTGACGAATCGCAGGATTCCAACAACACCACGCACATTGTTTCTTCCGATAGTACGGTGCAACTGCTCTTCAGGATGCAGAGTTTAAGAACACAGCGTAGGGGTAGGCCCTTTTCAAGAATAGCAGCTGTCGCYGTTGCAGCAATTGTGTCGATTGTGGCTACAGCACTGGCACCAGTATTTGGGTTTGCACCTCAGGCGTTCGTATCTTCGAACAAACCCACCAGATTCTTTGAAAAATATGTGGATGAACCTATCTGTTATCGCACAGAGCGGTATTCCCGGTTGATTTCCTTTTCCTCCAAGTCGGGATCTCTGGATGTGAAACTGTTGGAAGAAATTCGTTCCATGAGGGTGAAGGAACTAAAGGCAGAATTGACAGAACGACGAATTTCCACCGCCGATGTCTTCGAAAAAGAGGAGCTGGTTCAACGGCTCTACGAGGCAAAACTGAAATCGCCCGATCCGACAGAAACGGCTTCTGCATCAACAAAAAGAACTTCTAGCGMWWCCTCCTCCTCCTCTGGTACTAGCACTGGCGTCCTTTGTGCCGATCTGTTCTTCACTTCGGTCGACTCAGGTAGATCGATGTCGGGCATGGATGGCAATTCCCAAAGTGTCACTATCAAGGTCGAGGACGTAAGCGATCCCTATCCCACCATCGCCATTGATGTCTACGATAGTAGTGGAAGCAGCAGTGGTTCGTTCCCGCTCAAACTCCTCGTGGACACGGCCTGTTCCGGACTCGTTCTRCGTCCATCTGTAGTGCAAAGGCATTCCTCCTGCCTCAAATCATACTCGACCCCGGTCACCATGACTGGAGGAGCCGGCGCGGCTGCAAACACTGGATTGACCCAGATCCAGAGCTAYTCGCTCCGAGACTCGGCGGGTACACAACCCAAGCGACTGGGTCCGCTCCCCGCAGCCGTCCAGGACATTGGTGCCCTTCCACTAGAACTGGACGGCATTCTTGGTCTTTCCTTGCTCAGCCAATTCGCGTGCACAGAACTCGATCTGGAGAATGCTCGCCTCAATCTCTACGAGACCGAGTACAGGCCACCCCTTGCAAACGAAAACAAAGAAATCGTTGTTGCCGAAGCAGAACTGTCTCCAACGAAGCTTGGAATCTGGACGGTAGATGTTTCTTTTGCAGTCGGAGGGAGAACGGGTCGTCCCATAAAAATGCTGGTCGATACCGGTGCTATGGCGACCTTTCTCACCTGGAAGGGTCTGGATGACATGGGACTTGGCCTCTCTAGGTCGTCTCCGAGTGTACGCGAGTTGACCCAGCCCATGGGGGCCATGGGATCCGACAACGTTGCCATGAGTTTGTCCCACCGAATCGAGCTCGACGCGGATGCTCCCATTAGCTTTGGAAGGAAGTCGGGTCGGCWGCAGCAAGAGCAATTGGGTCTTTCCATCGCAAGTAAGAGAAAGGACGGCAAAGAACCATCTCTGCCCATTGATATTGGCAACATTGGAATATTGGAAAACCAGCTCGCCTCGGACAACGTGGTTGGAATTCTGGGAATGGACGTCTTTTCCAAGGCCTCAAGGATACGAATGACCTTTCGGGGTCCGGTTCCAAGAATCACTTTCTACCAAAAGAAAGAAAYAACTCTGTCCAAGGATGAAATGAAGGACGCGACTGCTGCTGCCGACGTCGAACCCGAGAAGCACACCGCAAAAACGGAGGATGCGGCTCCGGTGGATCCCGTAGAACCAGCAGCAGCACCACCGACAAAGGGCCTAGAAGCACGGGGGGAAGAGCCGGAGACCAAGAATGCTGTTCCGACGATGGTCGAAGCACCAACGCGTAAAAAGAAGAAAAAGAAGAAGAAGCGAAGGTATGACGACTAGTGTAGGTRTAATAGCAAATTTAGCCTACTTTTCCTGTTCAGCGCAAGGGTCGCTCTTCTCGCTCAAACGGTTTGTCGAAGCACCAACCCTTTAAAATAGCATAGACACGGCGACTACTAGTGTAGGCGCAATAGCAAATTGTTGCASTTCCCTRGCAACGGTTGGTTGTCTCACTCAAAGGGCTTGCCGAAGCTCCAACGCTTAAAAGGAAGAAGCGTGGATGCGACGAATGCCACGTGCACCATAGAAAACTTCGTTCTCTTCGCTCGTTCCGTCGCAAGGGRCGTTATTCCCGCACCGCTGCTCGGTCAAACGCTTCGACGAAGGAAACTAATCTTTCCTTAACATTCGTTTCKTTTGTACCGGGCGGAAGCTGTGTTCCCGAAAAGCAAACAAGCCATACCATGCCTTAGATTCAAGCCGACGGCGGAATCCAATTAGAAATCGACCGGCAAGTTTCTGTGCGTGGAAGGATTTTGTGGGTTTGATTTATTTGATTTCGATGTTTAACTGTTGTTGCAATGGCTATTGTTTATGGTTTTTGTTAATTTYGTTGTTGCGCTGTTATGCTTGTCTAGACTCTATGCAAGCACGATAGTGCTGCCTGTTATAAAAATATGTACCGTGTGTGTGGGTGTTTCACGATGATAAGAAAATGTAACATATAATAGTCGTACCGCAGCGTAACACATCAGGTTTGCGTTGCGTGTAGGATCCTGCGGTCCCGCCGTCGCGGTCGGTGGGTGGTTTGGTTCGTGTGTGCAGTCGATGTCCATGACATCAACTGCAGCGAAACAAAACGATAGGACGGACRCCCGCCTTAGCAGCCGTTTTCCTGGCCGCTCACCATTGTCATCATCTTGGACTTGTTGTAGTAGTTGTGGGTGACAAAGGACGGCGAGTAAAAGTGCATGGATTTCTTGCTCACGAGTGTTTGCTTGCCCGGATTGCCGTCGGCCTCCGCGTCCGCAACGATGCTTGRCATCTCGAGGTGTGCGGCAGCCACGGCGTGATCMGCGACGTCGGGGGCGAGCTCGCCTCCGGGAGCAAGTTCCTCCGAGTCGCTCGGGCTCGCCTTCTTTTTCTTAAAGCGCCAGACCCGGCGGTTGAATTCCCTTCGCACCATGCCCCTGCGCTGCTGAGAAGCACCCTCGGCGATGACCTCCATCGGTGTGTTGCCGGCGTTGTGGGCGATGCTGTTGCCGTGGTTCTTGGGTACCTCTGCTTCCGCGTCTCCAGACCTCGTTTGGACCGCGATTCCGTCGTAATAGGACGGATGCTGGAGCTCCTGGAGTTTTTGGAGTTCCAACAAATCGCCCCTCAGCTCGAGGTATTCTTCGTCGTCGTCTGTTTCGTTCGTGAGATAGTATTGGTTCCCCCTCGCGTCTACGGCCGTGTACGTGGCGAGGTCCGAGAACTGCTCCAGGAGGTCGTCGTTCGCGTTGGCAGTCTCATCATTCTCGTCGTCGATGGTCTCAAAGGACTTGTTCTTCCTCGAGTCCGGGTTGTTCGTGTTCGAGACGTCCATGGAACCGGAATTGGCCAGTCCGAGCACGGGGATCCGGTGAACCTCGCCTCCGGGAAGACCCGTGGACAGAGGCGGAACCTGTAGCTGCAGCCATTCCGTGGAGGCGGACTCCTGATTTGTGGGCGTTATCGACGGGTAACGGTCCGAAGCCACACACGCTTGTGGCGGGGGACTCGAATGGCGGTTTATGGACTTCCTCCTCCTTGATGGTACTATCGTAATGGTGATTTCCAGTGGAGGAACAAAGGGCTTGTCGATGTTKACCGGGTTGAGGGGATCCTTGGCCGGATTGTACTTGGGGTCGGGCCGGATTGATCCCCAGGGCACCGAGGAGACATCGTCTCTGTTGCTATTCTCGATATCGTCGGGATTTGGGCGCGGCATTGATTGCAAAGGAACCTGCATCGAAACGTGCTGCTGCTGCTGCTGCTGCTGGGTAAAGCCTGTATGCGGCGCTTGTTGCTGCTGCAACGGGAGCATCGACGGGTGGGGTTGCTGCTGCTGCCACGCCATTGCGGGATTGTGGCCGTGGTTTGGAACGCCAGTGGAAACGGGCAGGTACTGCGGAAGAGGTGAGGGGTTAGTGTTGTGTTGGTAGTGCTGCAGGGGCAGTTGTGCTATGGGGCTCACCCCAGGACTCACGACCCGCATGTGCTGCTGCTGCTGTGGTGGTGGCTGTTGTTGATGCTGTGGAAGCTGGGTGACGCCCAACACGACGTTGGGCCGCAGAAATTGCGGTGAGCCGTTCAAAGTCAGCCCCTGCTGGTTTGGTAATGTTGTAGTATGTGCCGTGGTTGCCATCATCATCGGAGTGGAAGCATGCTTAGCAGGGGGACTGCTGGACATGAGACTTCGAAGGAGCTGTGTTTTGGTTCGATCCAATCCGGTTCGGTTTGGTTTCGTTGCCTTCGGCGACGGTGATACTTCGGATCGAGAAGGGAAAAGAATAGGTGCGTGCGAACTATACCAAATTCGACTCCCTTTGRTTCGATAGGTTGTGTTGGCAGGAAGAAGGCTCTAGGTCGGTAGCGTTGGTTGTTGTCTGCAGTRGTCACTGTGTTTGCTTTCSTRTTTTGCTGTTGGAATATGTGTTCTTTTCTTCTGGCTCGGAATCAATCTCTC